TTAGCGAACAGATGTCAGCGAACTATGGCGCAATTGGATTCGCACTTTTGTGCCTCTAGCTCAAGGGCCCTGTTAAGTCAAACAGCGACGGTTGGTCGTAAACATGGTCCCCATACATGACCGTCACTGCTACTGCACACTGAAAAAGGCACGCACTCAAGCTGCACATGTAAGAACACAAGGGAAATTCTCACCCGTCTTACTTATTGATGCGTGCCGGGGGCTCATATCTCACTCCGAGTCTCGGGAGTGAAATGTTGTGGCTTGCTGCACAAGGCGTTCTGCCAGACTGCAATTCCTGGTAACTACTAGATAACTATTCCATATCATGCACTGTACATCAGTGGTATTTCGCATCACATGCGGTTCAGGTCACTCGCGCGTCACTGCAACTCGGCGGCTTCGGCTTTTGGCAATTTCTTCGATGGCACCATCGCCGTTTCCATCAACCGGAACAGTTGGAACGGTCGCATGCTTTTTGTCAAAGCGTCTGCTTGTTGTTTCACTCAGGTCCCTTGCGATTAAACATGCTGCACGTGCGTCTTTTGTGGATTTCTGCGACCTGTATCTGCCAGCATCTTTGCTGGAAGCCGTCTTCAAGCTCATATCTTCGAGACATAAAACCCCCGGAAGCCGTCTTCAAGCTCATATCGCTGAGACGACACAAAGTGTCCGAGACATAAAACCCCGGAAGCCGTCTTCAAGCTCATATCGCTGAGACGACACAAAGCCCGGGAGCCGTCTTCAAGCTCATATCGCTGAGACGACGCAAAGCTGTCGCCCGTGTAATGCAAGCTGTCATCAAGGTTGTTTTCCTGTAGGAAAAAGTCATCGGCCAGCGGAGCCGCTGGATCGAATGTTCCAGATGTTTGAAGTGCCTCAGGGCGGGTAGGCTGGCAATTGGGCGGGTGCATGAGAATTCTGGGAGCCGAAATCTGGCGCATCCCGAGCTTCACAACAAACATATTGGACACGTCCATTCAGCTTGTTGTTTCACTCAGGTCCCTTGCGATTAAACATGCTGCACGTGCGTCTTTTGTGGATTTCTGCGACCTGTATCTGCCAGCATCTGTGCTGGAAGCCGTCTTCAAGCTCATATCTTCGAGACATAAAACCCCCGGAAACCGTCTTCAAGCTCATATCGCTGAGACGACACAAAGCCCCCTTCGTTAGAAAAGTGAAGGCTCAGCAAAAGACCCCCCGTGCACAGCCCAAACTACCAATCAGACTTAGGCGGGCGTTTGCGTCCCATCCTACGAGTTTCGTCCCCCACTTGGCCTATGAACTTCGGAGCCTGCTCATGATTTCCGTAAGTGGCCCTGAGACTATTGAAGATCTCCATGTCACTGTCTTCCAACTTCACATCCACCCGGTTATTCATGTCAAACTTCTCATAGATAGAACTTGTGAGGTCGTCCGCTTCAACGTTTTCTTCACGAGGACGCCAACGTGCTTCCAACCACAGTCCCGCATCCCATATATAGGTTTGTGTTCATCTGAGCTAGAAGGAGTCCGAGCGGCATCTTAGTGGAGAGCCTACGGCGACTAAGATGTTCAGCGGCCAAGTTGTCTGTTCCACTTGCAATCAAAGCCGCACCAGGCTTCTGCAACTGCCGTTCACCCTTTTTGAGGTACCCAAAAGCATGAAACCCGACATAAATCGCAAAGATCTCCGCAGTCGTTCTCATGCGTTGTGCTGAAAGGGACCACTCAAAAAGCCATGGAGCTTGCTCAGGTCCTAACTGCAATGCAAACCAGCGCGCCTGCTTCGCACTACCGTCCTGAATTGCGCAGAAGCCTACTACCACCAGACCTTGAGAGCATTTTGCATCAGTCCGGAAAGCTTCTTCGCGGCCCACCTGCGGTGAACAACAACTCACTCGGTACAACCCCCCCTCGAATCTCTGCTTGATGAGTTGGAGCGTGTGGCCCACAAGATCCGGGACTCTCGACACCGTCCCCCCTTTGAATTTTGAGCCCCAGGCATACAGCGGCGCCAACAGAGGCCTGATCCAGGGCACTGCTTGGGAGGCGAATCCCAATCTTCCCACTAGCTCCGTCTCCCAAAATGAAGTGCTGCACAAGCGACGCCGAACGTGCCTACGCGGTTCACCCACACGATGTCGCTGCTATCGTCGGCTCGGCAACAGAGGTATCTGGTCCTGAGGACGATGCAAATATCTTCTATGGGCCTTAGCGATGTCTGCAGCCAGGCTGAGGACCACTCCACAATCACTGTTCTGACAGACGTCCATGACCTTCGCGATGTCTCCCGGACCTGGGAATTCGAGTTGATCGTGAATGATGATCTCGTTGTTGACCCTGATGTGATGGGTCCCGTCGAAAATCACACGGACTGAGGACTCATCCTTCGGTATCGCGGCCAAACTGGCCACCCGCAACTTCGATCCGAATCTCCTTTGAGCTTCAGAAAGGGTGAGGGGGTACATCCAGCCTAACCTTTCTTCATCGCAGAACTGCGACTCAATCGTTGCGCCGTTCTCCTTGGCAGAGCTGTAATTGGCCGCAACCGGTGTGTAGTCTGACTCGTCATACTTTCGGGTCTTCACCTTTGGCCGGAAAACTAGAGGGGCTGAGGGGATCGCTTCCCCAACACCAACCATGCGACCATCTCTGTAATTATCCCCCGGGACTTTGGTTAAGATCTCTGTGTCTTCGTCCCCCATCTTGATTAAGGTCGCCTCAATAGCGGCCAAAAAGAAAGGTTGATGGGGAGGAACCTCGCGCAGATTCGGTGAATCACCAAGGAGTTTGAACCATTCTTCGCGAAGCTCCCCCAAGGCCTGATCGGTGAATGGGCAATCCTTGCAGCGTCCGGGCGCCAATCGGAACATCTCCTTCTTCGGATCCTCAAGATGCTTGCTCACGAAACTTGGTTACGATGCCTCTCAACGACAAGATGAACTCCCGCCTGTCACCTCCAATGCCGCGAGCACGAACTGAAGGATGCCATCTTCCGGGAGAGTTTAACCCCCCTCCGTCCGCGAAGGACTTTACCCTATTCTGCCATCTACATGTCATCGGCATACCCCTGTTATCCACTGCAGCTTGCTTCAGAAGTCCATGGAAAGGATACTCCGCGGTCTCGGAATGCCGGTGAGTCGGGCTAGAACATGGAATGGGTGAGAGGGATGTTTGTCCGTCACCCTTTGAGCCGAGCACGGGGACCTCCACGTCTTGATCACTACCAGAGCTGCCATCGCCCTCGGAGGAGGAGAGGTTATGCACGATCTCTGTCGCCCCAACCCCCCTCAACGAAGCGAGAGTAGATGTGCAGGCGGGTAGGCTGCCGAAGACGAGGTTCGCCACGTTGTTGCGGTCTTGCCTTTCAGAGCAAAGTTATGATGTCCTTTGGGGGAAGGAGGCGGTAACGGGCCTACGTACTCGGAGTGAGGCCCCAGCTGACGCCAACCCCAATGCAGTCCCGGCCAAAAGATGTGATCAAGCGCATTCGTGACGAACCTGGTTGGTTTGCATGTGGCAGATCCGAACTGACATTGATGAAGGGCGAAGGTCCCGGCCTGAGCTTCGCTGACTAGTGCTCGCATTTCTGGCCAATCCCAAATGGAAGCTGGAACCAGCCCCTGCGAGACTCCCAGCTGCTCAGGATGCTCAATGATGAAGAAATGTCCTTGCCTGGCTTGCTCTGTGGCAGCTTGGAGAACCCTGTCGATTAGAACGTTTGCCAAGGTCACTTCGTCGTGATCCGACTTTGCGAGCCACCCGCGAGGCCACTCACTTGTTCGCAATGGCTTGGGCCCCGGCGGCTCATGCCCGAGCCCCATGATCACATACAAGTATATACCTGCCCCGCTGGATGTCAGAGAAGATGCGATCCCAGACTTTTTGGTCACAAAGATTATGAGCCTGCGGTTGCCGGAGGATGTCCACTTCGTGGAGAGTGATCGGCACCTGCAAATAATGCGAGTAAGATTTGAGGAAAAAGGCAACGTCGGAGGCTCTTGCGGCCCCCACAAAGAGGTACAAAACTTCGATGATGTCAGACCTGGGAGCTCCGTCCACTGAAACTCCCGTGCTCTGCGCATCTGTGGCCCCCACCTTGGTTGGAAAATCACCGGCACCTGGTGGGAAAGGCGCCGGTGTATCTGATCACTGTTTGGCCTTCTTGGGCGATGGCTTCTGGGGGCAATCATTGCGGCCGTGGTCTGTCTTGAGGCACACCTGACAACAGTGAACTCGACCGCAAGAGCCGTCACAGTTGCCGTCCTGGAACTTGTAGCAGATTTGCTTGCCATCTGGTGTGACCGAATGTAGGAAACCAAACTTCTTATCTGGCCTGCCTGTGATAGTCTTGCCCTTCGCGAAGCCCTTCTTCTTGCCCTTGCCCTTGTAGACTTGTAGACGCCCAAGCCTGTGCTTGTTGGATGAGTTGCGTGAGTTGATGATCCAACTGCTGGTTCCACTTGTGCTTGCCAGGATTGGGCGGCTCGGCCCCTGGTACACGAGAGGATGTGTGCATGTCGCGCCTTGCTAGAACTGTAGGAGATAGGAAGTGAATCTCCTTGATTTCGGAGTTCTTGCACGCCTCCGGGAGTGTGTCAGCAATACTGCGATTCTCACGGACCGCATTTTTGTACGCTTCTTTCCGCACGGCCTGCTCGTAGCGGAGCAGGACGCCCCACGGCGGGGACAACGTCTCTGTTCCTTCACTGTCTGCCTTGGGTACTTGGAGTCGATAACATTTCTCACCTAACAAGTACTCAGCATAGTTGGCAAAGACCTGGGGCTCCAACCGCACAAACCAAGCCCTTGTTTGAAATTTGGCTCCGAGCATGGTCATGGCGGTAGCTTCCAAGCATAGTTTGGCTCGCAGTTCCTCCGAGTCCTCTGGGAGTTTGCTCTTCTTGCGTTCTCTGGTAACCCGCAAGCGCCCTGAAGCATCCACAGAGCTCTGAACGCTGAGAGTCAATGCCTCGTCTTTGGAACCGACCTCGTCCAACGCAGAAGCCAAGAGCTCGCCCTGCTCGATTTCTTCAACCTTGAGAGCTACATAGTCGCTCGAGGGCTGTTCACGGTCTTCTAGATGGCCGTAGCTCCTCTCGTAAGCGTGGAGCATGGCGTTCCGATCCGTGTAGCTGAGGGTTCTCGGTACACCGAGAACCTTTGCTTCAGAGCGCTGCTGACGCTCTTTTTCTGCCATGTCCGAACATGCCTGCCATGCCGTGACTAACGAAGCCATTGTAGCTCTTTGGGTTGCCCCTCCATCTGGATCGATGTGCAAATCTGCCTTCAGTGCAGTGCGGAGCTCCGTCTTGCTATCAGCCATTGCTGCGAACCTTCTGACGGAGGGGTACTGCAAACTCAGTTCATACTGAGCGGCCAGCGGTACCCCGGCCTCGTCTAAAGTGAACACCAGATCCGCATCCACCTTCTCGTGAAGGTGGCACTTTTTCTGGTCGTCGGTTGCCATGCGTTGCACTACCCTGCTCACGTGACTTCGAGGGCTCTGCCTGATGCTGAGTCGGCAACATGCGATACCTGGCATGTGGACGGGCCCTGAACATACAATCAGCAGGATAAGAGTGCTGCGCAGTTTCTGCAGCGAGATATCTGCTCGCTGACTGCATCTGCAACACGCATTTTCTTCTGCAGCTTTCGCTGTAGTCAAGTACTTAATCGGAGGAGCTATCACTGGAACTTGTACTAGACGAACTTTCCGACGAGCTTGCCAATGATGATGTGGCTCTGAATTCATTCGAGGCACCGAGCATCTGCCACCCCTGCCTCCAGCTTCCACACTCCCTGGTGTCATAGACCTGTGCCAGGGTGACTGGGCAGCCACCCCGACGGTGCAGTCGTTTGAAGCCCGCTCTTCTCGAGGTGGTGATAAAGTAGGGTGCTTCCTCAGAAGGTTGGGGCAGCACGATGTCTATGGGATCGTCATCCACTGCGGAACCAATCTGGATGGTGCTATCCTGAAGGAGTGGGAAGTTCTGCTGGAGTGTGGGTTTACACAGAGGTCCATGCATGATCTGGTGGAGGGTCCTTATGCGACCGGGATCCCCTCGAGCTTTGGCAAAGTCAATGATTGCCTCCACAAGCTCGGTCTCAACGAATATGTCGTTTCCAAAGTCGCCGCCATAGGAGATCCCTCTCAAGACCTTCTCTTGGATCTCCAGCACCACTTGTCTCGATGTGATCATGTACGTGTCGGAAGAGCCGCGACCTGTCTGCCACCTGCCAAGATAGTTCCGCTGTTCCTGTGGCACACGCATGGCCCCTGCCCAAGACACCAAATTGTGTCTAGCAGAGTGTCCTGACCAAAACCCCACTAAGGCCTCTGGCACCAAGCGGCTATTGGGAATCGCTTCCCGACGGCGTACAGCAGGGAGCTCAATCAGGACTGCTTTTAGACAACTGCTGAAATCGACATTGCTCAAGTGACGGCTGGTAACACCGCCACCTCTCCTATGCGGCTTTCCCAAGAAAATATCAGACGGCAGGGTGGCCGTGGACTCCAAGAAAAGGCCTAGTCCCTCACTAAGCCAATCCACTCCACTCAAAGAAGCTCTGCGATGCACAAAAATCGGGAGCTCACCATCTTGCGACCCGGTCCTGAGGTTTTCGTTCTGCTCAAAATGGATCGCAACCCTAGCTCACTCAGTGCCAGGGTGTCCCTTTTGATCCATTGAACATCATCGACACGAAGTGCAGCCCATACCATGAAAGGTAGCACAAAAGCAAACGCCGAAATCTGGCGCATCCCGAGCTTCACAACAAACATATTGGACACGTCCATTCAGCTACCTGCGTGGCCGTGTCGGTCCACCTCAAACGATCCACATGGGGAGAGTACAATCGCGCGGTCTCGATTTCATTCTCCCAGGCTGCTGTCGCATCGACATCAATTCGATCATGAGACGTCGGTCTGTGACTTTGTTGACTTGTTGACTATTCAAATGGTTGCTGAGACTGCGACAGTCCGTAATCCAAAGATGCAACATTTTCTTCTGAGAGGTTTCCAAGCCACGCCTTCAAGGAAGGTAGTTGCCCACGCAGTTCACACACGATGGCCGTCAGAGCCGTCAGCCTGTCGCCACTTTCGACGGCTGTTTGCATGGCGTACGTCTCTGACGCCAATGTGCTTCTGCAGACGCGTTGTAGATCCGTAACTCTTCACATGCGCAATGTGCTTTTCATTCGCCGTGCTCTCTGTGGTCAGGTAATGCAACCTGCCCTGCTGGCTCCTCAAACCGGATTCCTGGGCGAATGATGCGTCTGAAAATGCTACCACGCATATGTCACGCCAGTCTAAAGATCCCGCCGGGTAGTACAACGATCGATCCTGGTCCGCCTGGGCGAGCTCGACCACGCGGTTAGCTTCCTTCAAGTCGGCGATCGTCGCTTTGGAGCATGATCTTTGAAGACTGTTCACCCTGTAACACAAATCGGGCCTTGCGAACCTAGCTATCCATGCTGACGAACCCACAACACTCCTAAGGCTCGTTACCTCAGCCTCGGTTGCATGATCCGTGGCCTTCGTCCTGTTGGGATGTTGATCTTCCGAATTTGCCGCGTGTTGTCCTCCGTGTCAATGCGCACGCTGAAGTCCTCGGCCTGCCGGAACCTCCGACCACAGAATCGGAAGTCTGTGTCCTCAATCTTCCCAACATCGAACTTAGCCAAAATTCGCTCCATAGTTTCCGTGCCTTCCGGTGTTGCACACCATAACAGATCGTCAACGTGAGTTGCGAGGATGATAGCCGGCAATCCGTCCGACCCGAGCAAGTAATACAAACCTGGGGCAATCCGACTCATTGACAAACCTTCGCCCTTGGCCTCTGAACTCAATCAGTTATAGAAACCACGCCCTGCATCGATGGTCCCGTAGATTGGGAGTCTGCAGAGAAGCATAGCCTCCTCCGGAACACCTGGGAGTCCCCCCGATGGCTGCCGCATGATCAGCACCCTTTCAAGCGGAGACGCCTGAAAGTAAGCGTTGGTGATGTCACCACAACGCAGCTTCAACCGTCTTGATGCAGCATAGCTCGCGATGAGACAATGAACTTCAGCATCAGCAGTGGGACTATCACAACGAAGCTCACTCCTATCAACATGTTCTAGATGTCCGCACGCCAAAAGTCGGCTGCGATACTTGGGCCTGTAGTCCTCACTCCCCTTCTGGTGCTCGTTCTTGTCAACGTCGATCCACTGGCTCGGGATCGGCTTGTTTCCTTCGTTGAGCAATTGTTGCAACATCTCGCCCTGGACTGGGATGGCTGCATTGTACCTCTGGCACTCCTCCCATTCTTCCTTACGGGCTCCCTTGATGCCTTCCTTGACATGATCTTCACACTTGAAATAGTTCATCTTGCGGGGTTTCTTTCCCGCTTGCTGTTCACTTCCTGGACTAAACCTCTCTGCCACGAAAGCTCGGAACTCGGGTGTATCCGGAGCCAATTCGGGAAACCCTGGCAGATCCAAAGGGCTCTCACTCCGAACACGGAAAAGACTGAACCCTGTCCATGCGAGGTCTGTGAGTCCAGATGCTTCGGGAACCAATCCCCATTCATCACGAACCACGTCACTCGAACCGTCCTCAAAGCGATGCGCTTCTCTAGTGTACCTTGTCGAGATCACCGGGGAAATCGTCCGAGTTGGGCTCATACATGTAACGACGGGGTGCGACGTGCACTCTGAAATGCATGTTCTGTCCGACCTTCCAATGATCCTTGCTCGTGCACTTGCTCATCACCTCGTTGAGCTCTCTCCTCGGTTCCTGCGAGGCGTCTTCCCCTTAACTGGATTCCTGTTCAGCAACACTCGCGATGTTCGGCGCAATCGTTGCGATGGGGTCCAAGTTGAAACCAAGATCCCTGAGCTGATCCCTTTCGCAATCCCCGAATTTCAAAACACCTCTACTCACAAATGCACTTATAGACCAAGGTTCACCTTCGAATGGAAGAGTCGCATGCACCACTCATGCACCTGATCTGGGTCAAAGACAGCGAGCTTGTTGCGGCTATCCAAGATACGACCTCTCTGTTCCCCGAACATCACATCGCCGTCTTCGTCCTTGACCCACAGATGTCCTCCCTCATGAGGACCCAGCGTCGTCAGCTGGTTCTTGCTCTTCTTCAAGTTGTGACAATCTCTATGTGGAGGCGTTTCGAGGTCTCTGCTTATTTGAATTGACCACCATCCTTCACTTGCCCCTCTTGCTCTCAAGTAGCTGTTCAGGTACATCACCAACATTTTGTGTCTGTTCGTTGCTTCTGTTATGCCTGAAAGATTGCCATGGGCATACGCTCCAAAGCTGTAGGCTTTAATGGTTCTTGACAATCTCGCGCTTCCCTCTGCTTGTAAGCGGTGTCATCCTGAGTAGGTTGAGGCATGTTGATGGACGGAAGTCGCTTCTCTCAAATGCTTCTTTTGCTGCTTCTTCTGCATCATCAATGCTTGCTTCATTGCAAACCCTCCAATCTGAACTGTCATCAACCTGATCCTGCACGGCAGCGTTTGCCTGGGATGCTTGTCCAGGTTGCTCTGGCTCATCATCCGATGAACTGTCTGAGCTCGAACTCGAACTACTGCTGGAGATCGCGGGTGGTTCAACCTCCTCTTGTGTGCGTTTTCGTGCTGCCGAGGTAGGCTTTCTTGCTTTCGGTTGAGGTTCCTCTCTCGCATCAACGAATCCTCTCTTCCCTGTTGGGCCTTCGGTCAAGGACTCGGGGAGCACTGGAATACCCGAAATCAGACAATGCGATAGTACCTCCTCTTCCGAAGCTGGCCTCAGGGAATGAAAAGAACACAAGACAGGAATACCACCATTCACAACCCATACGGCTTCTGCGCTCTCTTGTCCAATCACTGTCGAGGTAGTACTCCACTTGGCTCCACCTGCTTGCACGTCTCTCCGATACACCACATAGTCTCCAGTCTTGTACTGCTCCTTGATTGGCGCTGCATGCTTGGTCAATGCCTTTTGTATTCTACGGCTCGTGTCAAGCTTGACCATTGCTTTCTTTGCCTCGAGACGGCTCTTCTGTCTTAGAGCGAACGCATCTGCTCCATTGAATTTTCCTTCCATGGCACCAATCTTGCTCATCCGTCCATGTTCCAGGCTCTCTCGGATTTCTACCCAACACCCACTGACTAGGCGAAAATCCCGAAACATTCATGGTCGTGTTGTTGACGGATACGACTTCTTGTATGACACTCCGCAGGGCATCCGCTCCTACGGCCGGCACGCTGGCAACTGCCTTCCGGATCACTGCTTTTGCTAACCCCCCATGGCGCTCCACCTTGCCCAGCATCCACGGGGCCTCAGTCGCGGCGTACCTCACATTTACGCCCCTTTCCGTCAGGTAACCCATGAAGCACCCGCGGTTATGCGACCCCCGATCCGCCATGATGCAACGCGGTAGACCTTGTAGACCCGCCCACGCGAGCCACCGTTGGAATGCCTCTAAGCACATTTTCGCCGGGGGCGGGCCTTGACTCTCTTTGGTGACTTCCCTCAGGAGCTCTAGCTGCTGGAAACCCGTGACGAAATCGACGATGTTGAAGCACTGATATCTCCTTCTCTGTGAATCCATGGTTTCCAACATGTCAACTCCTACAACGTCACCGAAGACATAGTTCCCACGAACCAATACCGACAGGATGCGACCTAGGCTTCGGGCTTGTTCGCTCACAGCTCTCGCACTTCACAAGCTTAGCTGCTTCGATGAACTCTTTGGCGGCACCTCCTGCCCTCAGAATCGCCTGAAGGGTTCTGGGAGCTGGGTGATTGAACTGCCTATGCAGCCTGCGGATGGCGACGCGCACTCGTTGTAGCACTCTACGCCACACCGCCCGTCGTTGCGCCTCATTTTTCGGGACTCCCGGAAGCGGAAGGGATTCCAGCCACCCCCGCTGACGGTTTTCTGCATCGACGTCGCCCGCTTCGGGCACTCCCACTTCCTCAATCTCATCGACCCCACCTTCAACATCCGTGTCCAAACCCGTGCTCACGACATAAACAGCAGAATGTGAGTGCACAGACATGTCACTGCTCCATGTGCGCGGGAGGTCTCTGCCAGCTGTAGTTCTGTTGCATGTTTGTGTTCATTTGAACGTTTGTCCAAAACAATACGTTTTGGCTCAAGCCCTTGTATTAGGAAAAAAAGTGCCAATTGCGCACGGCTGATAGATCGTAGGTGCGTAGCTCTCGAGTTGCCACCCCGCGAAGCATAAAACAGTTGCGCCGCTGTGATTGCCTTTGTTGTGCAAGTCCAGGTGGCGTGTTTCACAACACTGCTACTGCTACTGCTACTACTACTACTACTACTACTACTACTACTACTTATACTACTACTACTTACACCACTACTACTACTACTACTACTACTACTACTTATACTACTACTTATACTACTACTACTACTACTACTACTACTACTACTGCTTATACTACTACTACTA